TATTTGGTTTTTTTCTGCTCTTTCGTTAATTTTTGGTTAATTTCCCCCCCCCCCATTGGAATGCATTGAATAGGTTTGACAGCTGTAGGTTTGACAGCTGTCAAACCTACAGTTCAATGCATTGAACGCTGGTTCGAGAATTCACTGAAAAACATCAGTCAAACATTACATTTAAGGTACTAAATCTTAAGAAAGTAGTGTTTCCTATAGCACCAGAATAAAAAGAAAAAGAAAAGAAGCATATATAAGTAACATTACTTTTAATTTGTGTAATTTCAGCAGGGTATACAATCCATATTTCATGGAGCAGAAATTTTTGTTTCTTTCATACTCCATATTTCTATGTGAATTCATCTCTTGTTGCACAGTATTTGTTGAGCCCAGAATAGTCTAAGACATTTTCCTGCCTGAGTTGGAACAGCAAATAGCTTTTCCTCCTAAACCCAAAGTCAGCCAACTTTTTGTGACAGAGGGGTTAGAAAATTTCTTAAGCATGTTTCTTCTAGCAGAAAACCCCGAGTAACCATCAATTAAATAAGTAACAATCAATCTCTTTCTCATCCAAAATTTGCTCCCTGAGATGGCTGTCTCACTCTGCCTAACAGTAGAGCCAAGCTGTTTTTAAAGCTGACAACAGTTGAGAGGATTAAAAAAGACTAGGCACCTTACCAGCACAGTATGATACCCACGTAAACTCCAGAGCCATGAATAGTATGTGTTGCTTGAAGATTGCCATTTTTTCTGTGAGTTTCCTGTAAAACAGCTTCAGCTCAAGAAAGCAGAACTAAGAGGTTCTGATCTAAAACCAAAGTAGGAAACACGTACAGTATTGTTACTTTTTTTTTTTTTGCATAACCCAATAGAGGAACTTCCTAAGAGCATATTTACTGGAAGTACATGCACATGATTCTCTTCTTCTTGCAGAAACATATGGGTTTCTTTAGTAAATGTTGTTGCTGCATTTTTGGAGGTTAGCAAAACATGTCGCCTTGAAACAGCAGCAGATTCTTTATTGTGTTAGTGAGAGAGGGAAGATGTACTCTCGGGGCTGGGGGGGGGGTTGACTGAACTAAAAAGTTCCTCCAAGGAGATCATGGTGGTGTGCAGAGTTCCTGCCTTCGTTTCTCATCCCTATAACCTCAAAAAGTGGTGAGCAAGCAACGAGAGTCACCCGGCGCATTTAGTGGGCGCGTGGGGAATGGAACCTGTAGGTCTTCCCAGTAGCAGTCCAGCATACTAACCGCTGTGCCACGCACTGACTCATATCTGGTGTCCTGGTGCCAAATTCCTTCATAATCGGGGGTGGCAGGCTGCTTCCAAGTCAGGTGGCTCTTAATGGCTTTGGTTCAGCGGGTCTGAACCCACTTCATTCCTCACATCTCACTGTGACTTCTCAGATCAGCTGGAAGCTTGTCCTAGTAGCTGCAGTTTAGAACTGGCAATTGTCCCAGTTTAGAACTGGCAATTCCATCCCAAGGAAGATTCACCAAGTATCTGGTTCTTGCTTTTTTAATTTATCTTTGCCTTTATTATTTAAGGTTTGTTGCTTAGTGTTTATTGCTTGCCTTTATTGTTTTAAGTCTCTTGTTTTATATGACTGCTTTGTTTTTATTGTAAAATCTGTGCTTTCACGGATGCCTTTTGTTTTTACATGTCTGCGTTGCCCCAGAGGCATATATGCCCAATGAGTGGTGACTGAAATATTTTTAATAAACTAGTACATCTCAAACACAAACAGAGAGACATGTTTCCGCAGCCACCCTACAGTGGTGAAACAGTTTCAACTGGGTGCTTCACAAGTGCTGGAACTTGAATAAGTTGAATAAACCCATGCGCAGAGCTCTATCCAGGATGCGCATGGGCAGCGGGGTGTTGTCGCTCATTTAGTTCCGCTTTCGACTGGAGCCCTTCCCCTGCCTACACCCACGGGGTGAGGCTCCTGCATAGTGACGCCGAAAATTCCCACAAATGCCTCTCCCCAGTCTTGACAGCAGAAAAATACAGCAATAATAACAAATCAAATGACAACTTGCTGCTCACTCTTGGCACTCAGAATCTGTTCCTTGAGAAGGCCTCACCCTGCTGGATAGTAGGGCTGGTCTTCTCACTCCCTTCTTGCCAGCCCTACCAAGCCCATCCTGTCCTTTAGGCTGCAGCCTACGCAGGAGTGCAGCTGTTCCATCTTGTGGTGTTCCCACCCAAACAGCTTTGCCACTTCCCTCACAGACGCCACACGTGAAGAGCAGCATAAGCATTTGTTTGTTCATTTCTTTGTTTAAACTCCACCTTTCTCCTTAGAAGGACTCAAGGCGGCTTACATCGTTACATGACAATATTAAAGCTTAACAACAGCGAGTATACAAGTACTAAAAAGGATCAAACAAGTACCATACTAAAAAAATATAATCTTAATGTCCAAGCAGCTTAGCCTAGAGTGTTTAAGAATACTTAATGTACTTTGAGAGAGAGATCACTCAGTATACATGCTCCTTTTGCTCCACTATTATTTTTGTTGTCGTTTAGTTGTTAAGTCATGTCCGACTCTTCGTGATCCCATGGACCAGAGCGCGCCAGGCCCTCCTGTCTTCCACTGCCTCCTGGAGTTGGGTCAAATTCATGTCGGTAGCTTCGGTGACACTGTCCAACCATCTCATCCTCTGTCGTCCCCTTCTCCTCTTGCCTTCACACTTTCCTGAAAGTTTTGGGGGGTTTAAATACAAATTGTAGCAAGCCTCATGCTTGCACACTTTTTCTACCAGCATCAGATACAGTCATCAGATTACCCCGCATTACGACAAATCCGCTTCACGACGATGTTTTCGCGATCGCTTGATGATCGGTTCCCTGCTTCGGGAACTGATTTTCGCTTTACGGCGATCAAAAACAGCTGATCGTCAGGTTTTCAAAATGGCCACCGGGTGCTTAAAATGACTCCCTGCTATTCTTAGGGACAGATTCCTCGCTATACAGGCACCGAAAATGGCCGCCGTATGGAGGATCTTCGCTGGACGGTGAGTTTTTAGCCCATTGGAACGCATTGAACAGTTTTCAATGCGTTTCAATGGTTTTTTTTAATTTTCGCTTTACAACGTTTTCGTTCTACAGCGAGGCACCACTGTAATTCCTTCTTTTAATTTCAGGATGCATATGATTTTGTCTCATTATGCATAAGTCACTTGTAAAATTGGCAGGAGGTTCTTTAATCAGTAGTAGTCGAATTTCAGGATGCATATGATTTTGTCTCATGCATAAGTCACTTGTAAAATTGTCAGGAGGTTCTTTAATCAGTAGCAGTCTGCCAAGATGATGACATCATTCCCTTGTACAGGTCGAGCTATGCAACAGGATACTGACCCATGCTATGCGTCAGAAGAAAGCAAGCCCAAGGTTTGCCAAAATTAATTTGCATTATTCTAAACAAGGTCACAGGGTTCTACATGCTCACATGTCAGCCAAAAACGTGATGCATGGGTGTGAACTGGTTCAAGTGCTCTTTAGGGATTAAGGGGGAATGATGGGGTTCTGCCCTTGAGGGAGAGCAATAGGATAAATGTCATGAAAATCTCAACAAGCTGGCCTTCTGGTTCTCTGTAAAAGGAAAGATCAACCACAGTGGAGGCATAGCATTGCCAAAGGACCCGTGTCAATACAGTTTATTTTTAACATCTTGGTAGGGGAACAGAAATAAAGAAGCAACTTCCCATCAATTTATGGGCATTTTTATTAGCACCAGAGCTGCAACGAAAGACATGTCTGCAAATAAAGGAAGAAAAATGATATGATGATGGAAAACTGTTTGTATGAAATTATTTTTACTTTTTTTTGATAGAACATGCGAGCTTAAGAAAGCCTCAGGATAAGTATCAGGTGACTTGAAAAGACCATTGGGTGTGAGCACAGCAGTTAGGTGAAATAATCAGTACAATTATTGTATATCCAGGGAGATGACCCTGGTCTTAAGGCAGTCTAAGAAGAGTCCCGGTCTAGCCTGGAAGGGATTCTTCCTGCTCCCTGAAGCTCTATCACCGCCAACATTTTGGAGGAAAAAATTCCACCCACATCTGTTGCATTCAGTGTGTACACCCAATTGCAAGCTTAGAATAATAGAAATGCATTTTAATGGAGATTGTCTCCATCAAACAAAGAGAATTTCACTGTTGCTATATTTGATCCTTTTAATTTGATCCTTGTAGACATTGTTTTACAATTGGTGGGAGTTAGTATTTGTATTAGATTCATAAAGTCAGCTCTACCAGTTGGAAGGGTGATGTATAAATAAAAAGCTAATAAAGATACTAGCCAGAATCCTGTTATGTATTACATGAGTGCAAGAGGAATAGCAGTTCTGCCACAACTAATGGAAGTTAATTGACAAAGTGCAAGGCACTTTGATGATCAGGGATGTGACTGGCATGTGACCTGCCCCTTGACTGTGAGACATAGCAACTTCTTGTGCATGCCTACTGTGTAATAGGATTTTGACCAATGAGAAGAATGATTGAATCACTGTTGCGTCAGATAATGCAGCTGTTTCATGAACATTCAGCCTGTATAACTGTAAACGGTCTTCTTAGAAATCTATCAATGGGATCTGCATCAAAACATGTGGAGTTCTGATCAACCAGACATATCTATTTATGGGTTGTTCCTTTCCCTTTCTCCTGTCTCCATATACTGTATTTTCCTGCCCTGTGCTGTTAGCTGGCATTTTGTGGTCACTGAATATGCTTGGCTATTTATCCCTCCCCCCCAATGTTTTATTGCAGATATTTTGAAAACCTCAGAGTATCGCTGCTGGTGCCTTCCTCTTGGCGCTGTTTTGGCTACGTAAGGCCTAGCACTCCAAAAATTGAAATTTGTTATTGCAATAGACATGCAATCTACAATTGAATGTTGCAGCATGGAGTGCTGTGTTTAAGATTCGAGACATGTTATGCCATCTCCACACGCCAGCTAAGGGAAAGGAGACAAAGCTTTCCATTTCTTTTTGATTGTTGCTAACTGATACAGTATGTAAGTGTTGCATTGAGAGAGCTGTTTTTTCACAGCATCACTTGTTAGGCAAGAACTGATGAGAAATGAAAAATTTCTTCTCCCTTCCCCTCCAGAGGAGAGTGGGAAGGACCTTTTCAATTTCTGAAGATTGTTAAGCAGCAATTGGACACTTAAGCCATCTGCTTTGGTTCGGTCCCAATGATCACCCTTGTTGAAACTGAACCGAAATTGAGTGATCCTATCCACACCAAAAAAAAAAGCCAGTAGCCCCTTGACTGGGACTCAAAAAGGGGCAGGTAGGCACCAGTCAGGGAAAGGCTTACTCGCAATGGCACCCATGTCATGTGATCACCAGAGAAAGGAACAAACCAGCCCTTCCGCAACCCGGACCAAACTGCAGGACAGATGCTCGTCTAGTTGCACCCTAAGGTGGTTTTTGGACCCTTTCAGCCTCTGCAGCTCTGATGGTTTAGGTGAAGCTTGGTGTGGCCTTTGTAGTTCTTTGCTCCCCATTTGATTTATTCTTACTCTATTTTGTCTTTTTCATTAGGCTAGCAATCCACATCTTAAACCCTTTTAAGCCAAAAGGTGGATTAAATGTGTGTCATTAAATAAGGACAAATGGCTAACAGAACCCATCTGCTCTCTCAGTAGGTGGCAAGTGGGACAAACCTTCAGAAGTTTTGGAAATCAAAGGACAAACATGGGAGGAACAAGTGAACAGTCTGCCAGAGGTTTTCAGGAAAGCTGGATTTGCCATAGAAGCGTTCACTAGACTGCCATACTTATGTGAAGGTGATATGTATAATGACTACTATGTCTTAGATGATGCTGTCTTCGTCCTCAAACCAGTGTAAATGTGTCTTCTGAGTCAAACCCAAGAAGCAGCCTGTGAATGAAGCGTTTTGATAATTTTTTATTATTATTTTTGTGGGGTTTATTATTATTATTATTATTAATTACAGGAAGGGAGGAAAAACTTGTGGTTATCCATTCTAAATTGACATCATTTATAATGTCTAAAGGTCAAAATACTAATTTCTTTGTAGATTTTTTTAAAGGACATCTTTTTTAAAGTGACCTCTTCCATTGATGACATCTAACCCCCATGAGACGCCCACAATCCAAACAGTGAATTGAAGATATTTTTCTATCTCACCATGATAGGGCATACCATCCAGCAATAGCCAGGACACTGTGCAAATTGATCCAGTATAACGGGTTTTTTCCCTTCTCAAGGACACCAGAAGAAAATACTGGCAATAAGGCTGTCCATTCAGTACAAAACGTGATCAGCTGTTGGGATAGATTTTCTTCCATGTTTATGAAGTTATTTGTTGGTCTTCAGCACATGTTTTTAATCATGCTAATAAAACTTTTTTTGAGATGACTGTTGTATCTAATGTTCCATTGTGTTCCATTGGAGTCTTCTTTCCTACATTTGCAAAAGCTACTTTGTGGACTAAAATTCTCATGCTGGCAGAGGGATTCTGGGAGTTGTAGTCCATTTGGGGAATGGTGATTTGCACAAAAACACTACAAAGTTGCCTTGTAACAAATAAATCAGTTGATATGCTTAACCCATCATTGCACTGAGAGGTTGGAGCGCTTGCCTTTTTTAAAAATAGCTGGAATAACAGCATCCAATATCATCCTTATGTTTCCCTGATTCTTCCAGTCTTAGCTGCACTCCTGGCAGTGGCTTGGAGTGGAAGATAAATTTTTGAAGCAAGAATATATTGGCAAAAATCCTGCTCTTTAGTTTAAGAAAATTCGTAATTTTCAGTTCATTCCAACCAACAAAATAAAAAGTCCCTGTTACAATTCTTTGGGGTGCATGTACATTCTGGCTTGGTACATGTCCATGCTCCCCTCCCTAAGAATTACAGAAGGGATTTTTAAAAAATTTTGTTGGCTAAAAACAGACTGAAAATTATGAATTTTCCTTTGCTAAGGAAAAAGCATGACTACAGAAGAATGACACAACATTAATGCTGACAATGAAGAAGTTGAAATTATTCAAAGTTTTTGATACCTTAGTTGATGCGTCAATGTTGATGGAGACCGCAGCCAAGAAATCAGAAGAAGACAGATGTGGAAGGGCAGCAAGGAAGGAACTAGAACGGACCATAAAGTGTAAGGACGTGTCACTGGAGACCAAGGCCACGATCATCCACATTATTGTATTCCTGACTATTATGTAAGGTGTAAAAATATTATGTAAGCCGCCGAGAGTGGCCTTTTAGGCCAGATGGGCAGGGTATAAATCAAATAAATAAATAAATAAACAAACAAATAAATAAATAAATAAATAAAACTGGCCAGTGAAGAAAGCTGATAGGGAAAAAATTATTCATTTGAAATTGGTGTTGTAGAAGAGTTTTGCAGAGGCCCTGGACCTCCAGAAAATATCAAATCAAGCCTGGAAGAAAAAATTATGAAACTGAGGCTCTCTCTCATACTTTGGGCTCAATATGAGAAGGCAGGACGTGCTGGACAAGACAACGATGCTAGAAAAAGTTGAAAGCAGCAGGGATGCGAGCTGAATTGACTCCCTAAAGGAAGCTGGAGAGTTGAGTTTATAAGAGCTGTCCAGGTCTATTGCGGACAGGACATTTTGAAGATTGTTCATTCATGTGGTCATTATACATCAAAGGTGGTTTGACAGCATGAAATGGCAACAACAAGCAGCAGGATTTCAGCCGTTGTGTCAACACCAGTCCTAAAGGAAGGTTCCTGGTGTGTCATCTTCATCTTGAATATACAGTTAAGGCTCACTTCTTGGTAGAAGAAGAAAAAACAATGGTTTGTTGTCTCTGTAGTTTTGGATTGTTTTGGGGGGCGTAGCTATGTCATGATGACAGCCTGCGTTTCAAAATTCACCATTATAACACTGCCCTGAACAGCTCAGGCTGAGCATTTTGCCAGCAGTCTGGAGATGCTGAGGATGGAATTTGACGCTATCTTCACAGCATGGACACCCTACACACTGAATTACGGCCCTTTCTTGTAAAGCAGGTGAAGGCACAGAAAGTACCTTCAAATAGTGAGGCCACACAGTCTAGGAATTACTATATGAGCAACTGTGATATTAAGTTATTTAACTTCATTTTGTGGTACTGGAGACCGATGAGATCCTGCTTTTTCCAGTGTAGGGAAGTTTAGCACACTGGTTCTTAACCTTGGGTTACTCAGGAGTTTTGGACTGCAACTCCCAGAAGCCTTCACCACCAACTGTGCTGGCTGGGGTTTCTGGGAGTTGCAGTTCAAAAACATCCGAGTAACAAAGGTTAAGAACCACTGGTTTAGCAGATCACTATACAGTATATGGCCTGAAAATGTTCCACCCAGACTTTCAGTGGAATACAGCAACCTAACTAGCCAGCAAATTGAGAAAGAGCGCTAATTGCTTTGTCACTAAGTGCCAGAAAGTTCTGTTTGAGTGAAAGAGTGAGGCACCGATTAACATCTGCCAGGGTTGCCTTTTTGACTTCCATTTCCACTCTAATAGTCGGTTGAAACAGTATTTGGTCATTGTTCCTCCTATAGGTATTTGTATACATATTTTTAATTGCTTCTGAAGTTGGAGATATTCAGCACTGACCCAGTGGATTCCTTTATGGCCCTCCCTTGAAGAGGGAGATATTCAGCACTGACCCAGTGGATTCCCTTATGGCCTTGCAATGCTACATAAATTGCCTTGCAATGCTGCATAAATCCTCGTTATTTTCCCAGGAGGAACTTGAGATATTAAAAGCATAGTTGCACTTTCTTCCAGATTTTATTTTACTAAGATTCATCCAAAGGCTCAAGAGTGCTCAGCTCTGAAAAGTCTTTGATTCTCTTGTGCGTTCATCCATATTTAGGTTGTTGAAATTAGGCAAGCACAACTTGTCCCTAATACATCTGTTCTTAATATGCCCCAGCCAAATCTGGCCGCAGCTGAAAATTTCACTTCATTCCTTTTCCATAAGGAATGATCAAAAGTGACAAATGTAATCATAAATAGACTGACAAATAATACAGGTTTTAATACTCTTTTGAAAATGAAGTACAAATCTGGTGCATGTTCTTGTTTTACTCTATTCTACTTTATTTTATTCTTTGGTTTTATTATTTGTAGTGAAATATATTGACCTACAGTACATGTCTATCAAATGCAGTTGCCAACATTTAGGCTTTCCCCCAGCATAATTTGAAACATGAATACCCAAATAGATGGGTGAAGAGACATGGAGGGTACAGTGGGTTGCATGCCCACTCAGTAGCGAAAAGATGATAAAGGCAAAACCAAACCCGTATTCCATTCTGCCCCTTCTGAACTCTACTATTAGTACTATCAAAACTCACTAGTACAAACATGAAGAGAGGAATGTACGTACTTCCATTGGTTCCAACACAGAAGTTGAATATTTCCTTAGTGAGGGCGCTGTCCTCAGGGTGGTCAGATTTAATGGTTGCTACATGAAATGCTAACCAACTTAGCCAAGTATTTTATTTTGTTGTATCGTATTGTATTGGAAGGGACGTGGTGGCGCTGCGGCTAAACCGCAGAAGCCTGTGCTGCAGGGTCAGAAGACCAAGCAGTCGTAAGATCGAATCCACGCAACGGAGTGAGCGCCCGTCGCTTGTTCCATCTCCCGCCAACCTAGCAGTTCGAAAGCATGCAAATGCAAGTAGATAAATAGGGACCACTTCGGTGGGAAGGTAACAGCGTTCCGTGTCTAAGT